CCGATGGGTCATACTCCGAGTGGCGCTGAGACATAACTGCTTACTGTGGCATGATTCTCAATTTTGAAGGGAAAGTTGCTTGGAAAGAATTCGTGATGTGGTCTCACCGGAAACCGAAGGAGGATTGTCGCGTAGAGAAGACTATTGAATTGTGCTAAGAATTTCTTGTCTCACCATCGCAAGAATTTTTAGGAGCTTTTCAATATAAATGTCTTGCTATACCTGTTTATTACATTTTCAGCCCCTTTCTTTTAGCATTTATCCTTTATTTTTTAATTTCTTTACTCTTGCTTTCTTTATCTCTGTATAAGATTATAAACACGATCTACGATTTGTCGGAACAACCGGATATTGTTGCTGGACATTTGATTAGACAGCTTCTTTTTCGCATTCTTCGGCCCAGTAAACTTTCTGGGAGTGATTTGGATGCCCATTCAATCAAACCTGCAGATGAACCCAAGATACCAGGTTCAAATGAAGCTACACATGAGCAAACAAGTCAGATATCTGTAGGTCCGTCCCTCTCTCACTGCCCCGGTTTCATGCTATCTCGATTTCTGGCTCTGGTCGGTCACGTAACTTTGCGCCAGCTTGTTCATTTAGAGTGCTCTGCTCTCATAGAATTGAAGCGACGATCGGCCCTGCGTGAAGAGAAGGCTAACAAGCCCAAATCGAAAAGAAAGGTTGGAGTGAATCCTTCCCCTAGAGTTAGTTTGTAATCAGTACCATTCATTCTTTTTTTTATATTCTTCTTAACTCCCTACTTCCTTATGATAGATTATATACTTTTGATTCTGTCCTAGTAGATCATTAAGGCGACTTTCCTAGTGCAAAGCTTAAAAATATGAAAAGATGTAGGGTCGAATAATCGAGTCAGAAAATTTTCATTGATGAACATTTTTTTGTTTGGCCAAAATAGAGGGATTATGAATCAACGGGTTTACAGTCGGGCCATGGACATGCGGCATCTAATTCATGGACTATGTTAATGTTTGCTTTAAGGTCGAAATGCTTGATATACAGAATATTAGGTCCATTCTAAAGTTCCGATGAACTCTAGATACGATGATTTCAAGGTAAAATCTATACCACAAATCCAATATCTTGTTCTCTTGACAATAAAAAAAACTATGTTAATCACCAAAAACGGGAGTTGAAGTATTAAATCAGTGTTTGGTTGTAGCAAACTTGAATATTTTAGAGGTCCGTCCTTACGTAGCTTAAGTTTACTTGCACTTGGCTGCTTCGTTTTTTTAATTATGAGCCTTGTCCATCTATATTGACTAATCTTTCCTTTGCTCCTGTCTGTCATCTATCTATACTCTCCTACTTAATGAACTACTCTTAATCCAGGCCTTCATTGGTAAAGTGTCATGTTAGGTCGATTCATGCTTCATGGACCCGCCATGGATGGAAAATGGCGGTTAAAACAAATAAAAACCCGTTTAATATAAAGCCTGATTTTATCTCATCATCTTTAGATTTCCATTGATTTAGCAATGGAAAGAGAATAGAAACAGTGGAAGCTAAAGCTGGTTGGCTAACAATAGTCGTGATTCCAGGATCACGTTTATGATCAAACACGTCTATTGTTAATCAAATAGCTCTAGTCTCCACCGCGTCTATCCTGTTTCTATCTCTAATACCAAGTCTATGACTTCCCATGCCATAGTCTCTTGTGTG